CGAAATTGTGTCTAAGCTTTTTATGAGTTACGATCATTTGTCAAAATGGAAATTTGAAAAAAAAAAAATTAAATTGCCATCTAAACCTTCCAAATGCCAAAGTTTAGTTTAATTAAAATATGCGAAATTATTGAACTCTCATTAATTAGATTTTAATCCTTTTCATGTAAAATCAAAGAGATGTCATACAACAAAAAATCATAAAAAGTTGCCGAGCAGTCCCAAATATTTATGTCATTACTTTAACTTTAAATGTTTTATTTATAAAAAAAAATCAGATTCAATTTTCATGAGCTTTTTTCGTTTGATTGTAAAAATGTTGCTTTATTTAGGGAATCAAATTCTAATCTGGTTTCACCTTCCGACAAAATTTTGGGTAGTCCGGACCGGGACTTAATTATAGCAACACATCAAACGACATTTAAAATTAAGGGTGGGAGGTAAATATACTACTTTAGTTCTCATGGGAGCATCCGGATGATAAATAATATACATGACAAGAGGTTTTTTTTGCATACACAGAGTGAAAGAGAAATCGCGGCAATAATAAAATGACAAAGGGCACCATGAGCACAAGCTCAAAAATTTTGAATTACTTTATAACGCTCTGCGACAAAAAACAAATTGTAAATTATGATGTTGAATAAAATATAATGACATGTTAAGAATTAAGTTTGAAAACAAATGAAAATTTTGTTTAATTGAAAAGTTGTTTAATAAGATGAGTTGCAAAAAGTTCAATATGAATCTGTCAAACTGAGATTAATTTTTGTCCACGAAAATGATTTAAAGAAAAAGTGCAACGAGATTTTAATTGAAATGAAAATTAAATTTAAGATAATTAGGAAATTTGCAGCCACAACAATATAATAATCAACTTTCCTGCCCTAGGTTGCAGAAAAATATTAAAATATTGGTAAGTATGTAAATTATGTTAATTATTTCGCTTGAAATGCTTACAATTTTTCTCTCTCAATTTTAGCTCTAAAAATGTATTGCACTGGAATCGTGAAATCAAATTGTTTGTGAAAGAAAAATAATTTGCGAATAGAAAAAAAAAAATGCAAAATCCAAACAACATTAAATCAGCATTAAAATGATATATGTGAAAATGATTTTGGCATGCATTATATTTACATAAATGTACTTACACCAGAACTTTTAAATTTTGTAGTCATACTTCCAGTTTAAGGCAAAATTCACTGTTTCAATGTTTTATGCATTATTCTTTTAGTTACAGGGTAGCGACCGAAAATTTGTGGTACTCGCCAAGGTTTATTTGCCTCACGCAAGGCACGGGCAGAAATAAAGCCCGGCTGATAAATTTAATTTTGCAAAATTCACGTGTGGCAAATAGTGCAACATCACCCCAGCGGCCTCCGCATAATGCCAACGTAAAATAGTAAATTAGCAGAAAATACACACATGCACGTGGCATTCATTTCGCAGCAAAGCCGACCTCATATGCCCGACAGTTTTGTTAAATTCTCCTGTGCACAGCAGCAGTGCAATATATGGTACTTTTATTATTTACACTCGGACGGTGCCGCTTCGATCCCTCGGATGAAAGGCGGTTTGCTCGAGAGAGAGAGAGAGAGTTTTGCACTCGCCCGACAAAAAGGGCACACACGGAATGGAATACACAGCAGTGCCGCGCTGCGTTTCTTGCACAATTTATCGTTATTGTTGCTCAGCTGCCCTGCCATGGAAAACGACAAAATGTGGAATGGAAAATAAACAGCAGAGCGATGAGAATTAATGAAATTTGGCACGGAAGTGTAATTTGATGTCTTTTTTTATTAACGTATTAAAATATTTTATGTCTTCAATTATTGTAAATATATAGAAAAAATTAATTAAGCATGAAATTTTTACTTAATACTTGTTCTGAAATAATCAACTTGCTGATTATTTTCTAAACTTTTCACTCTTTTCAGCACATAAGTTATTTAGAATAACAATCATGAATGCTATAATTTTTTTAATTGGTTCCTTATAGATTATACAAAAAGTTAAATTCTCAACATATATATCATACATAGCTAAATTAATTACAAAATTAAAAAAATATTTAAAATGTATTTCAAATATTAAATGGAACGGAAGGCTAGTTATAAGTAGGAAGTATAAATATGAACCTAACGCAAAATTCATTTCTTTCCTTCACATTTCCTATCTAAATTATTCATAATTATAGTTCGGCCTAGACACTTTTAATGGATCAATTGCAATTTTCGGTAAGTGATATTTTAGATATTTTTTGCAAAAAATTTATCTAATACTTAGCACAGCCTACTCCGTCTGTTCTTAAAAAAATTTACCTAAGGAATCTTGAAACAAAACTCTTCATTTTTTTTCATACTTGTATTGATTTCTGCAATAAAGATGGGGTGCATTTGATCTCGCAGTTTCTATGAATCAAACGACTGGAGCTATAGGAAATAAAGCATCAAGGCATCCTTTGAGTTTTTGTCTTCGGCACTTTTGTGATTTATGTCGAAGTGCGCTCCCCCTCTGCGAATTAATTAAAAAGCTGGAGCTCAACGCCAAAAATCGAGAATCCTTGCGTTCCTTCCCGTCAATCTGCTGATTGAAAAGCAGTATTTTTTTACTCTTCGATCTCCGCTCCGCGCCAAAGTAACGAATTAATTTCATTCGCGCTCCCTCACCGTCAAGATGAATTTCGGAGGCTAATTCTAGCAGCGCAGTGGGAAAAATCGGCTTCTTTCACGTCGTCAGCGTTTCGCCCATTCATTTCTGTCTCTTTTCAAAAAGCTCAGTGCGCGAGAGCAACATTAGAGTGTCGTTGAAAGGGAAATTCATCGCGCGCCGCAGAGAGAAAAAGGGCGGCTGGCACATCAAGGCCTTATCTTGCCAGATAATCAGTCGACACAGAAGATCATTAAAATTTGCTGGCGTGTGTCAATTCGCCTCTCTATCCACTGGGGGCGTGAATAAATTTGCATTTCTCTCGACCGTTGGCAGTGCGAAATTCAACTTTTTAACGCGGCGATAAAGGACTGCGGGAGGAAAATTTTGGCATGAAAGTGCAAAATGATGAAGAGGACATGCCTCCTGTTCCAGCCCTAAATGAATTTTCTGTGTCATAAATTCTAGCCTCTGAAGTTGAGATGTCAAAATTTATGAAATTAAATTATGTTAACTTCGAAGGAAAAAACCACTGTGTTTTATTATTTTGTTTTTCCAACTGCAAGAATTATTTACTCGGAATTTGAAAATTTTGAATATACGCAACTTAAAAATTTAAAAATTGGTAATTAGATATAAAATACGAATTTTTGAAATTTTTTAAGATTTACAAAATATTTGAAGGGAACATCAACATGGAAGATGAAAAGACTAGCAAACCGAGGTAAAAATACTGAAAATCAATTGAAAAAAAAAAAACACGAAGATCAGTTTGAAATTATTCAAACGGAGAAATTAAGAATTAAAATTATTAATTATTTTGCAAATTCCAATTATAATAGCACCAAATGGGCTTTCTGAGAAGTCAAAATATAATTGAAATATTTATAGACCAGAGAGGGTTCAATTCTTCTTCAATACTCGTCATTTGCTGAAGCTTTTAAAATAATATCGATGAAGCTAGGCAAGTAAAAAGATTTTTACTGCTTATTAAAAAAAAATCTTTATCGTCGTTTTATTTGGCGTATTAATTTTTTTAATGATATAAAAAATGCAGGAAAAATTGGCTGCTTCCATTTTTCTCACCATGCATATTATTTCGTCAGGTATTTTCACAATGAATCATTACAATACGTTATAGCCAGAAAACTCGTACAGAAAGTAGAAAATTATAGTAAATGCTAATATTCAAAAGGATTTTATTACAGCTGGACTGGGGTTGGCACAGCATTAAGAATCACTTCTTTTTTCCATATTTCAGTCCTTTCCCAATTTTTAAACTCCATAGCGCTTTATAGTGAAATGAAGCAGATGTGGAAATGCAATTACCCGCTTTAGCATAAGCACTGCAAGCGAGTGAATTTAATACGTCGACGGGACTGAACTAACAACGTGCTGACTTTTGATAAAGAAACAACAGCAAGAAGTGCAAACAAGTAAAGGCGAACAAACACGTGCGAGCTACTACATATGCATCCGCCGCACTCGCCGGCACTTTGTCTCGGCCCGGCTTTGAACCCAACACACACATTCACGTTGGTATAGCCCTGGTCATTACTTCAACGGCAAACACGGGCGGATTTGCAGATAACCGCAGCAGCTAGGCCTTGCCAAGATAAAGACTCCTTGAATGCAAATTTATGTCGTCGTGCCCACAAGCACACAGAGTTATCGCACTCGGCGTTAATTAAACGCTTTTTCTCTGCGGGCAATAGAAGCGGGCCCTTTTCACGCGGCAGCACGCGTGGTTTTGTGCTGGCGCCGAATGAATGGCGCGTTATTTCTGCGCTCTTTGCGAAATTCTCCCTTTGTTGCTCAATGGCCTCGATTTTCCGCCTCCGTGTCGACGGTTTCACAAAAAAGGCGGAGACACTTGAAAATTCAACGAAACTGCTAACAATAAGGTGGAATATAAAATAAGTTTTTTAATCAAATAATGTAAGCTAGGGCAATTGAGAAGTTTTTTTATATAATAGGTATTTTAGATTAATTAGAAGCATTCGATTAAATGAGGAAATATACTATTTTCTATTATAAATACTATTGATTTAAGTTACAGATTCCAGAATGTTTAGTTTAAACACAAATTTACTGCAATATCTTCTTATTGTATTTTTTTTTAAAGGAACAAATATTATGCCAAGACAGAAGAGCATTAAAAACTGAATTGTAAAATAAATTGATTGCAGTAATACAAAAAAATTACCCTTTGCTTCATCTTAATTTGAGCAATTTGATAAATTGGAATTATATCAAATGGCGCTGTACTCCTCAATCATTGACTAATTAATAATATTTAATTTTCCATTACAGCAACAATATTTTTTCATTTTAAAACTCAGTATTAAATTCTATTGGTCCAGCGTCCTTCGGAGATGTAAAGTTTCAGCAGCCCTTTCTTTGCGGGCAGCCACCAACTGATAACATGTAGAATCCAAACTCTCTAATTCTCCCTGCATCTGATAAATTTTGGATGATTCATTATGGGCTGCTCCGAGTTCCTCATCCTTTTTCTCCTCCAATTTCTCGAGTTCCTCGTCCAATATTCGGACTTCGCTTAGGAGATGCTTGTGCTCGGCAGCTCGGCTTTCCAATCTTTGCAGCACACTCAAGACTTGTGCGCTGAAATTTGAAATTTCCAATTAAATTTTTGTAGCCATTTAAAAATAAAAAAATGAAACCTTAAAACTTCAAAATCTCTGGATTTTTGCTTGGTCTGCACCGAGATCTCCTTCTCGGTGTTGCTTAGTGAATGCAACTCTTGCTGCAGATCCTTCTTGGCGGATCGCAAAGTCTGCAAAACATCTGCAGTGGACTGTGCAGTTGCTTCCAGCTCCTTCTTCTGGGCGATCAAATCCTGGAGTATAAAGAGTTTGGGAAGAAAAAAAATTATTAACAAAATTATTAAATAGACATACCATCAGCTTATTCTTTTCCGTCATAAGCCTCATTTTGCACTCTTCGATGTCGGCCAGTCTCTCTGTGCCCCTGCCCAGCTCCCGCTCCAAATCGGCCAGTTCTCTTTTGCATAGCTCCATGCGTGTGGCGAGAGCTGGGGAGCCCTTGTCACTAAGAGTTTGCAGCATCAGCTTCAATTTTTCCAAAATTTCAGCCTGCTCGAAATCAATTTCAATCATTTTCTGCATTCTCTGCTGCAACTCCTCCGAGTCCAGCTCCATCTCTTGCAGTATAATATTGTCATCGCTGAAAATTTATTTAACAATTTTTCAAGCGTATTCTTAAAATTAAAATTTAAATACTTGAGGTCGCAAATCAAATTTTCCATTTTCACTATTTCCTCGTGTGCCTCAAACTTCACCGAGTCAATTTCAAAAAGGTCAACGTCCCTCTCTTCGCTTTCCTTGGCTCGTTTCTTCAGTTTTTTCTTCAAGTCCCGTATGTTGCTCGCCAAATATTCAGTTTCCTCAGACACGTCGTCCATTTCTTTTTCTGCTGGTTCCGTTTCGCTTAAGTCCTGGGTCAGGCTGCGAGCTTCCTCAAAATTCACATTCTTGTACCTAAAAAAGAAATTGATTATAAAAATTATAACTCCATCTTGATCTTCATTTATACTTCATCAAGAGATGCTCCAATTTGAGCAGTTCCATTCTTTCCAATCGCAGTCTCTCTTTTGCGTACTTTGGGAACATCTCAGGTCGCGTAAAGAGGAACTGCGTTTCGGCGAGTTTCAGACACAACTGTCTTCGACTCAGCCGAATGATTTGCTTGCGCAAACTTTCTTTGTGCTCTTGTTCAATCCTGGCCTGTCCTTTGAGGAATTTGAGCTTCAATTTGTCCAGCATCTTTCCTTCCACAGTTGCCGCTTCTGCTTCGAAGTTTGCTTCTGCAGCACGCAATTGCTGCTCCTGAAATTTTCAAAAATATAAAAATTGTCTAATTCTAGAAAAACAAAAATTATTACTTTGATGCAGGTCTCCTTTTGAGCCAAACTCTGTTCCAGTTCTCGTATTCTGGTTCTGACGTTTTCCAATTGCAGCACAGTCTCGTCGACAGGGTCAGTGTTAGATTTCAAGATAGAGATCTGCTTGCACTCTAGCTTGGTGATGTCCGAAAGCAAATCTCTAATATGCCGCAACTCCAGGAGGTTCATGCTCTGAAGGGCCTCAGGTTCCGCTGCATGTTGCCCTTTTGGTTTCATTTTCACCAGCAAAAACTTTACGAGAACTTTTCAAAACCTCTAAAAATCCCCTCAACAATCAAATAACGAATCAAAACGATACAATCTTCCATTATTGAGGTAAGGATGACAAATTTCTAGATCCAACAATAGATCTTTCAAGCGCCATTGTAACAATGTATTTTACTTACAAAGAATTAATTTTAAACAATTAATTTTTTCTTTTATCGCTGCTTGAATAAATAAATAATTAGATTAAAAAATCAGATATTTTATAAAAATTGTACGTAATAAAAATTTTCCAAAATTTCTTAAAACTTTGATAAAAAAAAATTAGAACAAATTATTACTCATGATATTTTATGAAACTAATTAATTGATGTTCATGTATTAATTAATTTTAAAAAAAACAATCAAGCCAGTTTTTTTCCAATTTTAAAACTGTTGGAATATGATAGAATAATAGGATTAGAACAGAACTTGCAATTTGATGTTGAAAATTTAATATAATTAAAAATATAAATTTCTTCTTGGTAATTCATAATCTTCATTGTATTAATTTTGCCAAAATATAGTAGTGGGAGCAAGAAATTCTCAGCATTGTCTGCTGCACGTCGTCATGAAAGGCCTCCTGTCACCATTAATCCGGCAGCAAAATCAATTTAATTAAAATGGGAAAATTCATCTTGAGCCCGACGGCGACGAAGACGCCAGCTGCGCTTGTTTGCTCTTGTACTTGCTTGGCAGCACCGCCGACGTAGGCAAACAAACTCTAAGTACCGCTCACAAATTTATTTCGCGGGCTATATGGCTACACTCTGAAAAAACTTTCCACCTTGGTGCCCGCACGCGCGAGAAATTAATAAGAGCAAGCAAGGGTCTGCAAAATTTCCGCGGCATTGAGTTTTAAAAGCGGCCCAAGAGAGGAAGTGTGAGAGGTGAAACGCATTGAAACCAACGCGGTGCTATTTATTTTCGGAGCGAAAAAATATAATAAAAATTCCAAACACACCGTTCCGGTGGAGAGAAAATTTACGAGCAACATTTTCCTCCTCCGGTGACAGCGCAATTCTCAAAAGTTTGCCCTGCACGCGCTGTCGTTGGCGGGAAAAAATAAAGCTCATTAACGCAAACTAATTATTTTATACTCGCTTGTATTTAGGTCCAAGTTGCGCAAGAGTGCCTTGAATCGGCCCTTTTTGTTTACTCTCGGCAGCGTTAATTGCGAAAAAGCTGCTCTCTTCATTTCGCTTGCCTTTGAGCTCTGGTGCTTGGCAAACGGAATGTGAAATAATTTTTGTAATTCAACAAATTTGTTTTGCGTAAATTTTGCCTGGCAACATACAAACGAGCAAATTTCTTCTCTAAAAGAATAATTTATAGTTTAATTTATAGTTTTGAAGATAGAAAAATTTGCTTTTTAATAAGTTTTCGTGATTAATTTTACTGGATATTTTTCCTCTAAAAATTAAAAATTTTCTTACATAGGGAGTTCATGAAATACAACCTTTAAATTATAAAAGTTAGGAATAGAGAACTGCACAAATATAATTTTACTAGAAGTATCAAACTATGCAACCCGCTCTATTGTTGAGTTGCATTTTTTTACAAAATTAACTTTGTATACAAAATTAAAAGTAAATGCCAGAATTTTTAGCTTTGCTCTTGCCCGCGCCGATCCTTTATTTAAGGAAAAATTGTGAAAATATTCAAGGCAACTGCTTAAATATCTGAAAAAATGAGGAAAATTAGATGAAAGAGCTGCCTTAACACTTTAATTTTTGAAACGCAAGGTGAGTAATATTACTCATTGTCAGCTTTTAATTAAATAAATAATTCGTATTATTTTTTAATAATTTATAAAAAAATTGTTTTTTTTTACAATAGTTGCGCTTTTCTTTGAAAATATAAAAAACAAAATTGTAGCTTATGTTGATCATGATATATTTTAATTGCCCAATGATTCAAAGAAGAACTAGGCATCCTTTGTTTTTTCTACGACTCGCATTTTTTTGCTGTAAGACTTTACTGAAACTTAAGTGTAAATTAAGTATTTCAATCTAAAATAACACGAAAATTTACATTCCTTGGAAAAAATCTTACAACTTCAACTCATACGCGATGCCTGAAAATTCCCAGAGTTGAGATTCAAAATGATTAGAAATTCACACCGCGACGCCAGAGGATCATTTCCATGCTCGCCGCGGCCGCCGATGGATGTGGGCCAAAGTAGGTAAAGCACGCATGATATAAAATTCAATTTCAAGAATCATTAGAGCCAGATAAGCCGACGGCGGGCGCACGTTGGTAATTTCCTGCAGCAGCCGCACTTGGGCCTGGAAGAAACTAAACGACGTCGAGGCAGCCGCCGCTCTCTCGGGCCATTCTGGCATCATTACCAGATGAAATGAGACGTGAATCATGCCGTGCTAGATCTTTCTTAAGTCGTTGGACCGTCGGGTGGTGCTCACCCTTTCCAAATGGACGACGCGACACCATGAAAGGGAAATGAAATCGAGCTGGGCCGTCGCAGGAGCAAGAGAGTAATTACCACTGCAGAAGGACCAAAGTCGTGTGTCACCTCGGCCCTGCTTGCAACACGGTCTCGTCCGTTGGGAGCACAGATTCGCACTTTTTTGCTCCAGGAGTGACAGCTTAAACAGAAAGTCGGCTCAAATCTTTCGCGAAAGTCACAGAAGACTGGCAACTTGATTACGCTCAGGCCAATGCATGCGTTTCGTACCAAATCTACTTTAATTTGTTTTAAAAATAATATTTAAAATTAATTTTTATAAAAAAGTACAAACAAAAAATAGTTAATGTTGCTTAGGGGAATCTAAGGAATCGTAAATATCAAAACGGAGCTCATGATAATAATAATTGTTTTCCTATTTATAAAAAAAATACATTAAATTTTTTTAATTGCAGACATGAATTTAATTATGTACATATTTTAAGTGCGAATTAATCTGTGAAATATTAGATTTACCTAATGGACGAATCTGCATAAAAAAATTCCTTATGGTTAGATTTCTTTGAAAATATTTTTTTTAAGTACAATTGTCTTCCTTCATAATTGAAATTTATCGGAATATTAATGAAATAACATATTATTTTTCATTTTTCTTTAAAATTCATTTTATTTATTACCACTTGTAACTTCCAGTATAGCAAAATTTTAGAGCACAAATCACATTTCCACTTGGTTAGTATTGGACTTCCTTGCCGACATAGTAAAATACATTAATTCGACTATCTGCAACGCATCCAATAATAAAATATAATAAAAATTTGTAACTCTCGTTGCCATTCCAACAAATCAATACGGAGCGCCTCTCCCGTGCGTAACAGTAAAATCGTCGTAAATAAAATATAAAAATTGTTGTCATAAAATATTATAAGCGAAGACATATTGTTTCTTGACTATTATCACGAGGTTTGGGGGTTATTATTTATTTATTTCTTATGCATTAAATTATATCTTCATATATATGCTGTAGCGATTATTCATCATTTGATTGAAAAGTAAAACGATCGATGTTGTAATGTTGGGCGGACTGCTGTAAAATCTATATTTTACTAGTAGGTGTGTTGAGCAAATCGCGTTTCAAGTCCATTAATAGGGTGATGATTATTGCTACAATGGAGGCCTGGTATATTTATATAAATGTATGTTAAAGTAAATGAGAGACGATATTTGCATATAATACAGGGTAAATATAAGGGATGATTACACACTCGAATAATATTACATTGCACTGGAAATCCCGTTTACTGAATGTGTTTGTTCCACACACATCTCACTCTCTCGCCAAACGATAAATTAATTTCGCCATTCCGGCGCCTGATAATGCCAAGTTAAATTGAATTAGCCGCTCCACGGCGGCTTCTGCATCGATAACAATGTGCATACAAAGTGTACATTCGAACAGATGAGCAAATTAACAGGCCTGTGTGTATGGTACACAGAGTAATTAAACATTCAAGAGATGCAGCAGAGAAATGAGGATATATATGTACAAAAGCTCATTGTTTGGTTGGCGGCGGTGCATAATTTCACAGCAGGATTTAGCACATTTTGATGATATTAACCGGAGGCGTTAATCAAAACTTTGCAACACATGCAATCAAGCATATCATTAAGTGGAATCTGATCTCGTCGACAAACAAACTAACATGCACTCCGTGGTGTGTCCGCTCAGCTGACTGCCTGAATGACTTTGGCTTTGGCGCCCGCCGCCGGCGACGCGCCACTCGAGGGTGCTTTGAATCCGATTGGACGGTAGCCTTTCGACTTGGCGGCATTGAAGGGTTGCAGCGCTGGCACTTTGCTAGCAGTCGATTTGGATGCACCACTCGACGAAGAGCTACTGCTCGCCAACTGCAAAACAAAATCAATATTCATAGAGATTCTGTTGTCAGCAGTTTTGAATTTTATATTTAACCACCTCTTTGAAAAGAAACAAAAAATAATGGACGTTCTCTATCTAACAAAGTTCAATAAATTGAAAATTAAAAAATTCAAATAAATAATAAAATAAATATTATATTTTTTTCTTTTATAAAGAAGAAATTTCCGTAAACAAAAGAAAAATTAATTTTGCAACTTAGATAAAAAAAAAAAATTAGAGGTAATAAATAATAATGAAACTGATATTGCGAGGATATAATTTTTGAAACTTTTTCCCAGACTTTTTTTGTTTTTGTTTTTTTATTTCTTTACTTTAATTTATAACAGAATTAAATATATTTATATTACATATCTGACCTGTTGAGGCGGAAGGGAGGCAAATCCGTTGTACTGCGAGTGTCCGCGAGAGGCGCCACCATCCTGCTGCTCCTTTGGGGATGGTGAGGGTGACAGTCTGGCTCGGGGCACCCTCGACGCTGCCGAGGTGCCGCCGCCGTTTACCGCTCCCTTGGCGAATTCGCGCCGGTAATTGTGTGACTCGGGAACAATTTTCAAGTCACTCTCCGCAAAAATTGGACCTGTTTGTGTAAATTTCCGCATTTTTAATTGTTTTTATGAAATGCAAGGAGTGCAAAAAATTTTAAATTACCTAAGTAAGCCTGGGAGGTTTTAGGAATATCACATACGATGGCTGGGTGGGTCACGTTTCTGCGGGTGTTGCTGCTGGCACTACTGCTGGACGGCGATGGGGAGGCGCGTTCGCCACTCGGGTACCTGCTAATGGTGTGATAAATCATTCAAAAAATGCTTAAATTCACTTTTATATTAGGCTTAGAAAAATCTCATTGTTTAGCGCTACTTTAAATAGTCATAATTTAGTAATTCCTTAATTTGAGAATATGAATACAAAATGAATTTTTGAATGTTGTTTTAAAAATTTCCAAGATCAAATGTTTTAATTTCTAAAAAATAATTTAAAAATTTCTAATTTAAAATTCATTATTAGGTCTTAGAAAAATAGCTATAAATTAAAAAGAAATAAATAAAAATATGTATTACATAATTTCTTTTTATGACTGTTTATTGTACTTACAATTAAATCATTACGCATTGCAAGGTTGTTCTCACAGTTTTGTTAGTAATTATTTTTGATAATATTTTAATCGAAAGAGATAATATTTTTTCCAAGCCTAATAAAACTGTTAAGTGATAATATAAGATTGAAAATGCAGAGCTTTTATTACTCACAGTTTAACAGGCGTTGAAGTGACTGTTAAAATTGGCAAATGAGAGTGGGTGCAAAATGAGTGTTAGAATAGCACATACATACATATATAGAAAGGTAAAGCGAATTACACAAGTCTGTGGGCCAAAAGTAATGCTGCACGGAATGCAAACATTGTCCCGCAGCAGCTCTCGAATACATAGAAATTTAATTAAAGCAAAGGGTACATAGCAAGAGAGAAAGACCGCCTCGGGTCGTCCGTGTAGCCAAGGAAATTCGCTGCGAATGCAAATAACAAAAACCATCAAGCCCCACATCCAAATGTGCTGACAAGAGAGAAGCGAAGAGCAAACATACAAACCTATTAATTTTGGCCGGATTCGCGATGTAGTCTTTGTATTCTCTCGGCTCGGCCGATTTCGCCTGCCTGATCGACGCCGACTCGTCCTCCTGGATGCTTTGCGCGATCTGCTTGTAGATGGACTTCTTCGGCGCCACCCTGGTGGCCGCCTGGCCTTCAGGTTCGGCCCTGACGGGCTTTGACCTCTGCACCACCCTCTCGTCGAGGGAGATGGCGGGCAGAGACTGCGGCCCGTCGCTGTCCTGCAGACTGAAGAGGCGCAGCTGCTCCTTCAGGGTGGCCTTTTCCCTGGCCCGCTTGCGCTGAAACTCCTCCTCCACCTTCTTCATGGCCTCCGCCTCCTGCCTCCGCTGCTTTTCGCGCATTTCCGCCTCTTTCGACAGCCGGTCCGCCACTCGCCGCCTTTCGATCTGCCTGATCGTTGACTGGAAAGTGAATTTCTTGCCCGGTTTGTTGGTCAACTTCGACCTGATGGCCTTGACCGCCTGCTCGTCCTCGCTGTGCACCTGCGGCACCTCCCACGGCGACTCAGGTCGCAGCTCGCGCATCTCTTCGGGCCGCTCGTTCAGGTGGTTGTTCCTGACGATGAGCAGACTATTGTTGTTTCGCGCTCCCTGCTCCTCCCTTTCTTTGTTGTGCAGTTGCGTCAAAACGTCCACACTCAGTGACCTCTGACCTGCGTGCAGGTTTCGCGACTTGACCCTGGGGACGATGCACCTTCGAGAGTCGTACTCGGGCAGGTACATGATGTGGCTGCCGGAGGCGATGTGGGACAGAGGCTTTTTGCCGGTGATTTGTATTATTTCCTCCACCTCCTCCTCTTCATACTGGTCGGGACTGCTCGATTCGTTGGGCGAACGCCAGCAGACGCCCTCGTCAGACTGGATCGGCGTCCGCTGCCAGTTGGGGCCTTCGCCGGTGCTGTCCAGGGAGTTGGGGGCGCTGCGACTCAAGTACCAGTTTTCGTCAAGGGAAAGTTGCTGCTGCGAATGGTACTTGTTTTGAAAAGCTGACCCAAGAGCACCGGACACAGATTTTTTGAACTTTTTCAGGCTGTGGAATGTGGTGATGTTTTCATCGGGACTTTCCAGCGGCGACTGAGAAATTAACAAAAGTAAATAATAAAAATGCAATGGACCTTAAATTTAAAGTAGAAAATAGGATGGAAATTAAATTAAATTATTAAAAGTTTCAATTTTTCAGGATAATATTAGCTTGTATTACAAATTCATATTTAGTAAGAAAATAAAAATGTTACTCTTAAAGCTGTAAATTTAAGCTTGAATCCGTCAGGAATAAAATTTTATAAATAAATAATATACAAATCCAGGTAAAGTTTAAAAAATATTTTAAAAAAAACTTCATATGATCTGCTGTTTTTATTCTTTGAACAAAAATTGCAATAGTTAAATTCTAAATATTTCAATGCTCAATAGATATAATATTTACAATAAAAAATTTATATTTTATTAAAAAATAATACTCACATCTATTTCTTCTGGGCCTTTGTTAGCCGCCAACTGTAGCTGGTCTGGTCTTGGCAGCGACAAGGAGAACATGTGCGACCTTCTCGTAAATTTCGGTGGCGTGACCCTTCCACTTGACCTGCCCCTTTCTCCTTTCAAAACCTCGGGCGGGCGTTCTTCTGAAACGGCCCTTCTCGACGGCGGGCTTCTCGCCGCCTTGACGGGGTCCTCGTCTGAACTCGAGTCGTCCAAATCCTGTTCGGGCGTCCATTGTCTCGCGACCGGCGAGTGGTTTTTGCGGAGTCGGATGGGAGCTGCGGGCGCTGGGTCAGGCGAATCTAGCATGTTTTGTCCCGGTCCCGGACTGGCGTCCCCGGAAATTCCCGAGTCACCGGACTTTTCCTGCGTGGCCACGCTCCCGCGCACCAGCAGAGGGGCTCGCTGCGAATAGCACTGGACGATTCGCTCCTCCAACAAGGCGGCGGTGCCACTGGTTTCTCTTAAAATTGGTGAAATAGACCGATTCCTCCGCCTCCCTCTTGGGTCGTCTTCAGGTTCGTCAGGGAGGTCACCAACCAGGAGCTGCCGCCAAGCAGCGGTGGGTGAAAAACGGGGGATGTCGGGGGTCTTTTTTGGCAGCACTGGTCGCAGCTATAAAACAAATAATAAGCAATTATTTAGATTTCTTATTTATTAAAATCGAAAATGTCATTATTTGGAATCTCATCGGTTGAAACCACACAAAAAACTATTGCAACTAAATTTTCAACAAGAATAACTGAAGATTTTGCAAATTTATATTCTAGAATGAACAGAAATTTATTCATTTAGAACAATCCAACAGATGTATTTAGAAAAAAAAAAAACTGCAAAAAAACTGTTATTAGTCAATTAGTGTAATTTTACAACTTTTGCTTACATTAAACGTATTTAAATAAATATATTTTTTATAATTAAACATTAAATTGAGTTATTTTCCTTTTAATTTTTGGCAAAAATATAATGAACAACTTTTAATTTCAAATTTTAGCAGGCTTTCTGGATAAATTATTTTTATTCTCTGCCTGAGAACTATGCATATAGGATCAAAATTAATTCGTTTTTCTCAGCATAAATGGTTGTACATTTCTTTAATTTCCCGTGGATTAAAAACAAATTTCATATGCCATAAATTAAAACTGTTTCACAATTATTCAAAAATATTGTTAAAATCAATATTTTGTAAGGTTTATCTGTTTTGTTACCTGCAAATTGATGTCGCCGTTGTTCAGTGGCATTTCATCTTCTGTGTAACTTTCGCCCGAGCCGGACGACGACCTCTTCCTCCGCAGGACGGGATTCCTCATGCGGGCTGCAAACCTATCAACCTCGTCTTCGTCAGCGGCGGCCACTCCGCCACCCACGTCCATTCCGAAGTAGAAGGTTTTCGGCGGCTGTGAATTCACGAGAGGTTGTTTTTTGGCACTTTGTTCGACCGCCGGGGACCTCGCTCTGGTCGGCCTGCAAAAAGTTTTGTTACAATTTACTTGAGAATAATAATTCCACCTCCTACCTGTGGTTTTCTTTGACTTCGCGATGGTCGTTGGACGACTCGCGGCCAACTGGTGCGTGTCGCGGGCCCGAAGGTGTGGGCGACCCTTTGTTTTGCGGTTGTGCGGTGGCCGCCACTTTTTGAGCTTCTGGCGCCACATGCTTTTTGGCCAGTCGCTCTTTGTGCTTCTGCTGGGCCGCCTTGACCAGCTCCTGTTGGAATTCAGGCGAGGAAACGCTTCGCTTGGCCAAGAACGCGGACGCAGCCGCGTTGATTGGCGCCCGTGATTGTTTGTTATTTTCCTCGCTTTTCCGCGCCTCGCTCGACGGCGCCGGACTGTTTGACGTTTGTGCTCTGGTTTTGAACAGCCGCGTCTTCTTTGGCGCCGCTGAACCCGTATCCTCCCAACCTGAAAATCAATGCCACCGCGATTAAAAAAAAATATTCACATAATATGAGGATTTTTCAATCTGATTATTTGATTTCAAAATAATACATTTTTTAAATCTGCAAATCTTTTCTGTGTTCAAAAGAATTTTTATTAACTTATGTAATGAAACTAAGTATTTTGCTATTTTTTATTTTAAAGCTTTAACTTTTCTTTTAAATTCTCGTTTGATCCAGTGCCATATTTGTTTTGTTTTCTGCATAATAACTTTCAAAAAATGGAAAACATTAAATAAAAAGTATCCAAATTTCACTGCAAAAAAGTCTCAATTTCTAATGCATTAAATAATAAATTCAAGAGAAACATGTATTTTATTTTATTGAATTAAAATTTGTGATATTATATAATATAACTAATTCCAGACAATTTTGAATAGAAAAAAATGTAAATTTCAAAATCTGTTTCTAGAGGAAATAAATTTGGTTAATGTCCAGCATCATTATGCATGAATATTTATGAGTCCAAAATTTGTTCTTTTTATTTTATTTTTTTGTAACTTTCTCAAGATTTTTTTTCTCCAGTCTTTCAAATTATTGGCAAGACAGTTAATATTTCGAATTGATTCAATATTGATTGATCCTGAAGGCAAACACAATTAAAGCGAAAATTGAAAACTGACCGCTGGTGTCGCTTGGCGACTCCGACTCCTGCTTCTGCGGGGGTGGCGGCGCTTTATACTTCTTTTTGTTCGCTGCGGCGGCGGCGGCGGCGGCAGCCGCCGCTGAAGCTGCGTTGGCGTTGGTCCGGACGACCATTGGCTTTTGCTGATTGACCATCATTAAAGGCGCCGGGGCGGCTCTGAAATTAGAGGGAGCCCGCAGATCTGGCTCGCTGCCTCCAAATCTGTTTGCGCTCAATCTGCCGCCGGGCGACCCTCTGCTCACTTTCGCCTTGTAAGCTTTCACGGGCGCCACGTTTTGCTGAAACAAACAATTTCAAATTAGTTTAGCAGCGTTTGTAACCAAATTAATCGTACAAGTTGACTATTTCAATTTTATCGCAGCGAATCAATATGCATTTCTGGGCTTATTGTTTATTGTTTGCCCCGGGAAAGTGCAGTTGTGAATGCAATCTCCTGGGAAGACTTTGAAGGAAGCACGTAGTGCCACGGAGGTGCTTAATTAACTAATCAATTATGCCGGCACAGCGGCTCTGGAGGTGAGCGAACCACGGAGGAATTGTGCTGCTTTGGCTGCGTGCTAATGTTTATTTATGCCTTGCACGGTTCGCGGCGTATGCAACCAGCAACGCTAGCAGTAAATTGCAATTATATGTACCTGACGCGCATCCTTCTGAGCATTGAGCTTTTTTAATTTAAAGTTGCTCATTTCATTACAATCACCAAGTTAACTTTCATAGAGGGTATACAGTAAACTCCATAGAAAATATTCAAAAAATTTTGACAGCCTAAGCATTACTTTTAAAAATAAAAAAATAAATAATATAAAATTTTTCGAGATTCAAGTTAATTTGCGTATAATAATCATAATTATTGACACCTTCATGAAATTACAATCCAAAATGGGATGATTTATAATATTTATATTCAGTATTTAATGATTCCACGGTTCCCAAGTTTAATTTTATAAATATAATATATTTCATTTATATTTAAACAATTATATTAAATGTACCAAAAAATGTTCATTAGGGCAAAACTTAAATATAATTAAAAAATGAAATAAAAAATAATATTTTATCATAATAATAATTCGAATTAGTTTGATTTATTTATACAAAATCAAGTTTTATTTGTTTTATAAATAATTTAAACTAGTATGTTGGTTTTTTATTTGTGGATTGTGCTATTTACAAAATCTGGCAATGCTTTCCAACCAGTTCGTTTTATTTGAAAGTGACACCTGTAAATTCATGAATGGTCAGTAGTTTGCGGCACTGCGGAACCACAGATCGCTTCCCTGAAGCGGAACTTTCTCACAATATACCGCAAATTTTGATGCGTTTACGCGAAATGAAATTATTATTGACCCAAATTATCGGCGTGGTTCTCACACGAAATTGGGCAACACCGTTACTTCTGTAAGGCTGCACTGCGACGAATTGCGTGCAATACAAAAAGGTGAAGACGTGAATATTTTGTTTGTCTCTTCCGTCACTTTTGTCAAGGAAAAACCGAGCTACAATTTTGCCGCCGCTAATGTTCATTACGCTCACGTGAATTCCATTTTATTTTCGCATTTGATTTAATCCTAGATTTGCGCCGCCAGACATATATTAATCCCATTGAAATCTGACGCTTCCGATTGATTGATGAGATGATTTTCAAACGCAGAGTGACATTACGTGGCCGCAAAATAGGTGCTGCTGCTATTTACTAGGTGAATTCAAGCTCTCTGTGAGTTGATTGACAGTTTAATTACATTGCCTAGCATTGGTTGCTTTCAAATCAGGTCCAGAGAATAATATTGACGAACAGTAAAAACTTGATTATTTAAAAATTAAAATAAAATTAATTGAACGCAGAAAAAATTTAGCGAATTAAAATTATTGAATTTAAATTTTACGTTCAGACGAAGTAAATAAATGAAAAGAGTGTTAAAAATTATTAATTTTAAACTAAACGTCATAAATTTTTCGTGATTCAATTTTAATTTTTGTTTTGAAACGTGTGAAATAAATTGAATTTGAGTGATAAAAATTTCTAGAAAGAAATAATTTTTTAGAAAAAATCATACCTTCCACAAAACCACTTTGCAAAGATATTAATTATTATTATTAAAAGAATATAGCAGAGCGTGGTTTCGATCCACGGACCTCTGGGTTATGGGCCCAGCACGCTTCCACTGCGCCACTCTGCTTCATACGAACTCTAGTCACGGCTAAATTATTTTCATAGAACCAGCAGCTTAAGAAAATCAATAATTGAAAATACCTTCAAAAATTAACATTTAATTGTAAGTAAGGAAAGAAACAAGTCCCTGTTTTTAATATATCCTAATGCTAATATTTTATAAATTTTTTTTGCACAAAAATATAAAAATTACAATTTTCGATGCAAAACGAGGCCATTATGTATATATTATTTTCCTGGTATCTATCATTATTTTTTCTCTAATTAACTTGGAGACAAACCAAAAGAGAAAATAATTGCGTCTTATCGATCTTTCTATTTCTAGACAATTTTCAGTTTCACAGAAGTGCAAAAGAGCGTAACCTAGAGTGTCACGTCACATAATCAAACAAGCCAGCACAAAACAAGATCTCTCACCTGCGCTATTTTCCTTCCGCTGATGGTGCCACCCTGGTGCAGGATGGCGCCGTTGTTGGTGGCGCGCAGTTTGGGCGGCGGCCCCAGTACCTTGGGCAGCACCTTGTTCTCAGGAACCAGTTCGGGGTTGCGGCCCGGCGGACCTCGGCGGTGCATGTCCCGCGGGAAGGAGTGGACGTTCCATCGGGGGTCATCTGGAGGGTAGGCGATCTCGCCAGGATGCTGGTGGTGGTGGAAGGGCCGCGGGTAGCCGCGGTGGTGCGGGTCGTGCGGGTGGCCATGGTGGAAACTGTGCTGCGCCGAATGTGAGTTGCCCATTTTGCCTCAGTCCGTGCTCAGCAGGTCACCATTTCCATGCAATTCTCATCAACCGAGCTGTAATCAGAGAAAAATGCAATTTTATAGAGGATTGCTGTTGATGAGAGACAAACAAGTCAGGGTGATCTCAATTTCATAATAAGTCATGGAAACAAAATTAGATAAACTTTTTTTAACAACAATATGTAAAAAAAACGTAATGTATAAAAAACAAAAAAATCTATAAATTTATTAACTAACTAAACAATATTTTTGTTTTAATTTTTATTATTTCATTAAATATTTATAATTTATAATAGTAAAATATATTTATACCTATGTTTTTTTAATTTTATCAAAATGACGTTCACATTTTTAAATCTATTGCAAAATATTAATTTTATTTATTTAATAATTAAATAATATATAATAAATTATAGTTCAGTATGCAATAATAATGAATTTATAAAAATTATCACTGGAGTGTATCAAAGGGTTTTATTTTATATAATTATTAATTGTATTAATTTTATTGATCACAAATACCTTATATCATTTGCACTGTCCCTCCCCACATATTATTAAATATTGAAAGAAAATATTAAACAAATTTTAAAAACGCACATCTTTTGATATCTCTTCATTATAATTAAAATAGCGCATCCATGTTTGAAAACCTCTCGAGTTTGTTGGAAAATCGAGTTTTGAATCCAATTTTAATATAATTGCATCATTGCACACTGCGATATGTGTGTAATGTTATACCTGGCGAGATGTAGGTGTGCCTGTTTCGCCGCGGCGTGACCAGTAATTGATATTTTTCAATTACTCTTATTATCGAAGCACACAGCCATTCGATACAGTAATCCAATCGAACGGATCTGTATAAAATGCTATCGCCTTTCATGAGCAGCTTGATTTTCTTTTTTAAAGAAAAATAAAGGTCCTTTCTTTCTTTCTTTCCAACGAGCGGTGCCAATTCTCACGTTCCGCTATGTTGGCGCCGCCTTTTGTTTCGTCATGTTTTAATTTGGACGAAAATATGTGTCTGCATTTTGTCCAGCCAAGGACAAGAAGGTGTAATTTGAGCTGCTCGGCGCGCGATTCTCACACGAATTTTTGTGTTGTTGAAGAGACCGTGCAAATACAAGTTTTCTTTTTTCAACTCTGCACGTTTATTTTTCTTGTCCAGTGTTTCGGGTTACATATCGATGTTAGTGAAATTAAATAAACCCGGCCGCGAGCATACATTGCAAAAAAAAAAAAAAAATGACTGTTCGCAAATGGAGAGCCTGGGAAAAAAAGTAAAATTCTGCGGTTGATACTTTTAGTATTTGAAATCGACAGATCATATTCTTCCCTTGCGAAATAAGAAAAGAGTTTCTTATAGAAAGTTGGCCACCGCCTACAACGAAATGACCGCTTTTAGGCAAATATAGAAATTTGCAAAGCAACCCAAAATTGGCTCATTAAGCATCCTAATTGCGGCTCCTCCCCCGTGCGGTCGGCCGGTCCGAGCCAAAAACAAATCTCCTAATTAGTTCCAGCCTGAATATGCACCATAATGACGATTATTAAACCTCCCGTTTCCTCTTTCTCGGAAGATGCGCCACAATCTAATGTACTTCTCGCAACAAAAGCAAAAAATATAGGTTGCTTTGCGAAGGAAACGCTCGTTTGACAGAATCGTTACGGCGTGGACAGTAAATTAATTGTGTAAAGAAGGTGCAACAAGTAAAGCAAGTAGTATAGTTAGAAGTATGTAGGGTAAAGCGGAACAATCCCCTGGCATTGGTGCGATCGGACAAGAGATGCATTCAATTTATCTCAATGCGCATACAATGGCGTCATTGGGCGGAGAACAAATTGCACCGACCTGAATCGTGAGTTTTTATCCCACGCATCTCAACATTTAATCAAGCAACAATAATTGGAAATTAAGAATACTTATGTAATTGAAGATTTAATGTTGATTTACCCAATTTACCAATGCAGGATAAGCATCTCACGCAATTATATTTCTATAAATTGTAATTATTTGCCTTAAAGGATTGAATAATGCTCCTTAATATAAAATATTTTAGATATACTTTTGTGTCAAATATGTATCTTAAACTTGTTTAAAAAAAATAGTTTAAAATTTTTGGTAACGGTTTTTTATTTATAATAATTATATCAAAAATTAACAAATTATTAATTTATTAACAATATCAATAAAAAAAAGCATATATAATTAAAATAAAGTTTATTAAAATATATTTTTTTGTTTAGACATTGTTTGTATTTTAATTCCATTGCTAAAATAAACCCATCTTTAGACAGCAAGTTCCTATTTCTGCCAATATCCAATCTTTTTGCACATTTTCAAGGCACAAAACAATTTAATGTTTTCCAACTAACGTGATACACATGGGAGAAAAGAGAATAATTGCCGTTTATTTTCCTGCTATTTATGCTGCTATAATGGAACTATTTTATTACCCTAATAAAAGCCAGTGAGGCAATAAAGTGTGCGAGAAATCATTGTTATTTGACTCTAATTGTTAGAGGAAAATTTATCAAAACTTAATGAATTGGATTATATAGAGCAACCTCGTAAAATAGTATTAACAATTTATAAACAAGCGCAACTCCAAATTAAGCTGTAAACCTATCTGATAACCTATAAAATTCGCATTTAACAAAATCTAGAAATTAAATTCTAGAAAGCTTTTTATACATACAATCCGGTTCAAATACAAATCAAAGCCTTGCTTGTACTATCAGCGCCTGAAAATCTGCAAACATTTTTTATAACATCCGATGTGGGTTGATTGATGAGGCGCTAATCTTCCTAGCAGAATTATTTCGCCGCTTAGGTTTCTCAGGATGAACCAGTTCCTTTCTGCCTACGACACTGTAACCTCTTGGACAGCCATTCAAATTAAAATCACAAGTAGTCTAAATTTTCGCAGGCACATCAAAAACCCACGTTCCCAGAACACGCGTGTACAGTTACAGTGCGTGCTTGGGAAACCGCGTAACTAAAATTCTACTAAAATTATTTCGTAAATTCCAAGGATTTTTACGACTAAGACGTAAAAATTACTTTCAATTGGCTGTGTAATGTATTCGGTAAGATTTTAATAACGATTCCGCACCCAGGTACTAAAATGACACACCTGGTCGCTCGTACCAGGTTCGTACATAAAACTTTTACCCGGCGCAGCAGGCCTATAAAATAATCGTAAATTAACCGGCAATGAAAGTCCACAATGCGTTTTACTTAATGGTATGCAAGCGGAGCGTCGATAGATTCGAAGCAGAAAGTGAAAAAGAATCGTTCCCACCTTTTTACCGAACTCTCCCTTGACCCTGAGGAGCGCACTGCGTGACCTCATTTTATCTTGCGTTTTAAAAGTTGCAAAGGAAGTTGTTGAACTCGCGCAGGACATTAATTAACCAGCCTTTTGGTTTCTCTTCATGCTGAATTGATATAAAATAATTTCGTTCTCGCCAATTGACCCGCGGCGGTGACCACTCTGATATACCCGCTTGCCTGCGTGCGATATAAAAACGGCTTTTATTCGCGCACGCCGGCCGGACTATCTCAACTTTCGCCAGACTACTTTCGTTTGCTTCCTTTGTGTAGTTTATCTCGCGGCAGAAAGATCATTTATTTCCAAGCGTGTGTGTGTTTCTTTCTTTCTTTTGATGACAGGTTTGCGAAAACAAAAGTAGTTTTTGAGAGCGAGTCACGAGTCTGTGCGTTTATTTGGTTGCAGGCTAAACGGTGATAATTCCGGCGATAAACTGATGGGAAATCGATTGTGCTCGAACTTGATGGCATAATTACATACACACAACTCTTGTGTGAGATTTCGTTCGGGAATCACAGAGATAGCAATCCAGATTTCCTTTTTTAGAATGGTGCGGTTTGGCTCTAGGTCAGAAATAAAAATGATTCGCGACCCTGAACACGAAATCGCTTCCTTTTGTGTTTTTCTGCAGTCCCTTTCATTTCGTTTCTTTGTCCCCCTAATCAGACATAACTAGAATTGAGACACAAAATCTTTTCCTGCTTATAAGTGTTAATTTCGTTAGAGTGAGAGTTTGGAAAAGTTAAAAGAATTGAAAAAAAAAACAATATTTGAATAATTTTACTTTTAATCTTTTATTATAAATGAATAATGATGAAGAACTTCATTTCTTCCACAAACGTTATGTAATTTTATGAATGAAAATAACAATTTTTAAATCATCAAGGCTATTCTATCAAAATATGTATTTTGCAACGTATTAAACCATACACCGACTCATTAACACCTTGATAATTTATTTTTTATATAATATGATATAGTTAATAAAATTTGTATATATATATTCATAACATTGCTAAAAGGAAGTTTAAAAAAAAAATATGGTTTAATTGAGGAATTAAATAGAAAATATATTAATTGTTATCCATACCAGAATTTAAAAATTATCAATTAAAAAAAATAATCAAGTTACGTAGAAATAATAATGTTTTTTACAATAGATTGTTCAAATTTAACATAATTTAATATTATATTTAAATATTTATGCGAAGAAATTAATTATTTCTACCTTTTCCAACTTTGATCAGCTCCTTTTCCCTATATTGACATTTTTTATTTTATATTTGTGTGTGTCTTTTTGGTGCCAGGACCAACAGGGACAAATTTACAATTTACATTTTCTTATCAAACACTTTTTAACGAGCACTTAAAGAAATACTTTCACTTTAGGGAATCGTTTCACACGCCATTTGCATTTATCATTGAAAAACGAGCGTGTTTACGTGGAACGATTTGACAAACCGGTTCCACTCCAGATTTCGCCTCTCCGTACGTACGAATGCGAACGAACATCCGGCCAGTCTCGAAATGATTGTGATCCACGCGCATACAGCTGAGCGATAATTGACAATGATCGGCGGAGAAATTCGTGTGCGCTAATTTGCGTGTCTCCCAAGCTTATTTGTGTCAAAGACCAGAGACGCAAAAAAAAGTGCACGCAAAGGTTAAATTGAGCGAGAAATGTTCGGCAACACCTACGAATCTTCTGTTCCCACTTGC